CTCCTGGGGCAGCCTCCGGGTTAGTCCCCGAAGCTGCTGTGGGTGGGGTCACCGTCAGGGTAGCCCAGAGCCCTGCAGGGAGTGGCAGGCGTGCCGGGTGTGGTCCCCTGCGAGAGCGGTGCCCCTTCATGCCTTGCCCTGGTTCTTCTGCCTGTGCCTGGCAGCTGCACACCAGCGGCAGCCTTGGGTCTGGTCCAGGTGGCTGTGCGCTGGGAGGGGATTTTGGGCAGCTGCTGGGGGCGTGGCCGCTCTCCAGCTACTGGGCCACTGTGTCGGGGGCCATGCTGGCTGGGGGAACAACCAGCAGGCTGCTTATCACCGTGAGGGGCTTCAGGACCACGTTGCCACCCAGGGGACTGGGGAGCCCGACGTTCCTCAGGATTCCCAGCCTGCTGGGAGGAGTGTGCTGGGACACTTCCATCAGCTGTTAGGCCCCTGTCCCTTTAAGACTTTTGAAAAGCACTCGCTTTTCTTTTGTCCCAGGGGAGCCGGTTGCAGGGACCCGCTCTCAGATTTTGCTTTTCTGTTTCTCTAATACCCAGTACACTGTGCACTGTGTGTCTGCTCTCCCAGTACGGATGACTAGAGCTGGTTGTTCAGCAGTCCTGGGCATCCACTCCCTCCCGCTCCGACTCCTCTCCTCCTGCTGGGGAGCTGGGGGGAGGGGCGCTCGGGTCCCGCCGGGCCGCGGCTTGTATCTTAGCCCCTTTGTGAGGCGCTGAGTTCTTGCAGATGTAGATGTAGCCTGGCTGTTGTACTGTATCCATTGGTCTCTCTTTTAGGAATAGTTGTATTTGTTCTATTTTCAAAAATAAATATGGTTTTGGGAGGAGATTTCCGCTGCCTTACGCCGCCATCTTGGCTCCTCCCTATTAACTATATTTCTTATGCTTTATACTTTTCATCCCCATGACTTACTTATTTTATAGCTGGAGGTTTATGAATGCTTTTATTTATTTATCTTCAATGCTCCATGGTAAAGTCATAATTAATAAAAAATATAAAAAGTAATAAAGCAGGTGATGAAAACAAGAATTATCTGACCCTTTTACAGTTCTGCTCTAGCCTTCTGTAATTCTGTTTTGGATCTTGATCCTCATTATTGCTGGTCCTACCCTTTTCTCTTAAATTGCATTTCAGGAAACAAGTAGCCTAGACCATCAGCATCAGGTGATGCCAGGTCTCTCATGGCCGAGACTGTGTTGGAAATAACAGAGCACAGACAACCACCTGCCAGGACTGTTCTTTCCCCCTTGTTTTGGGTTGATGGCCAAAGAAAATCACTCTTTCTCCTGGAAAATCAGGAAGAGGGTAGCTTCTGAGGAGGGCGACACCTGCTGTCCCTGGCTGAGCGGCCCGGTGGGTCATGGGCTCCACCCGTGAGGGGCAGTGTAGGGGTCACAGAACGTCTTCACACGCGCCTCCTCGAGCTGTCCCTCACAATCGTGCGGCCTTCGGAGGCGGTTTCAGTGGTGTTTTGTTGGTGGGTGGCACATCTTGCCTGATCCGAAATGTACTGTGTGACTCTCCTTGGAGACCATTTTTCCATGTGAGCCTCAGTTTTATTATCTACAAAATGAGAATTTTGACTTGAAACTCTACTCTTTTAGTGTTTTATTAGAGTCCTTTTCAAGCCCTTTGTTCCAAATCACACAAACAAAAAGAGGTCCAGGGAAACAAAGTCTGCAGTAATAATTTCCCTACACTTACATATAAGCTCTTCATTTAAAATTTCATTGGCGATCGCATTAAGCACTGTATCTGAGCAGGTGGTTTGAGCCAACATGCAATCAGCTCCAGAAGGCGTCTCGGCCTCGGGTACCCATGTAGAAACGCGCACCATGTGTGCTAAGCTTTATGCAGCACTCCATGTCCATTAATTTCATATTGAAGAATGTCTAAGCTAATTGCACCATAACTATTTCTATAAAACAACTGTATTTTTCTGTGGAATAATCAAACTCAAAACGGATTGATTTTTTAAATAGTTCATGCAAGCACATACATACACTCAGAAACACACGCACGGAAGTGTGGTGAAGTGGTGGGGGAAGCAAACACTGCCGTGAGCTGCCCAGCACACATGGGGGTGCTAATTACTGCAACCCCAAAGGGTTCTGGACGCTTACACTTAGCTGAGGCCCCTCCAGCTGAAGGAAGCTGCCTTGCCCAGGCGACACACCCTGCACCCACAGGGCTGAGATGGCAGGGGCATGGGCTGAGCCCTGGCCTCAGGGGAGACCTTACAAAGGACCTTCCTTGTTCCAGTATTCCCAGGGATGTCATTCCTGAGAGCTCTCCTGGGCAGGCCCATCGTCTTCTCTTCCCAGGAAGCTGTACACACACAGTAGTAATTCACATGACTTGATAGATTTACTCATTGGTCAGCCTTATGTGGACTGAATATGAAGACAATTTATACGTTTTTAGCACACTTGCACACACACACACACACACACACACACACACACACACATTAGTTCTTGGCCCTGGCAAGTATTAACGAGGAATATAAGATACATATGTGGAAATTATATGATATATATAATATATGTGGTATATATAGTTATTTTTACATATTATAAATGTATATGTAATATTAAATATAAAATACCCAAAAGGAAATACATAGAAATTACTTCTAAGAATCAGAAAGGAAATATGTAATACCATATATAGTCATGTACGTTTCTTTTCTCATACCAACGCTCATTGCTTGTGACTCACACTTGAGTGTTGTGGCCTCACCCCCCAGTCCCCCCAGGTCAGGCCACATCACAAGATCAAGCCAAGTCTCTTAACAGAATGTGGGCTGCTGGCTATGTTTATTTTAACTCTAGCCAAAGTACTCAATTGGAATGAAATAACCTTTAAATGAGCACGGCCCTGTTTCCATTGGAAGAAAAGGAAGCAGAAAGAAGAGACTAGAAGTTACTGTTTGACAACTACTGAGTATCCTCTAAGAATCAGCAGGTGTTCTCCCAAAGCAGGAGAACCCCCACTTCGTGGTCCCCACTTCTTGGTGAGGGGTGGGGGCTTGGACAGTATGGACAGAAACGTGGTGAGTGATGAGAAGAGATACACCTACTGTGTCCAGTGGGGCGGCGTGTCGGGTGGGTGGCGTGTCGGGTGGGCGGCGCATCGGGTGGGTGGCGTGTCGGGTGGGAACAGCGCCTTTCCCCCTGCTCTGTGGGGTAGACACCAGGTCAGCTCCCACCCCAAGTCTGCTCCTTTTCCTCTCTTCACATATGCCCTCTTCTTGGGTAATTTTCTATTAAACATGCTCTTGTGAATGCCCACTTTATGCCCTGAGACTTCAGAAGTAAGAAGACATTCACTGTCTTTCTCTTAAATCAATCTTCCATTGTCATGTGGACTGGCAGTGAGGCACGTGTGGAAGTCGCTGCAGACTGTGACGCGACGCGGCCAGGGAAGTGGGCAACCCTGAGTCAGGTGGCAAGGTCCGGAGGTTCCCTCTGGACACTGGGACCCCCAGCTGAGAACTGCGGGGCCGATTCTGTGGGACGGAGCACCCTGCACAGAGGAGTGGGGAACAGAAAAGCTCAGGGGGCAGAGCCCACACACCAGGAACTGGGGAGCCAGTGGGGCTCTTGAGGCGGGTGGGAGGGGTGGCTGGGGTGCATGTGGGGGAGGGTCAGGCCAGGTCACCCCCATTTCCTCCCATGTGTGATGGAGAACACGCACGGCATCTCAAGCCAGGGGGCACCGAGGTCTAAGTCATGTTTTCGAGTGATTCCCTGAGGTTCTGGGGAGGAGCAGCACCAGAGCGGGTAGCCGGCTAGGAGGCAGTGAGGGCGCCGGGCCGTTTCAGGTGAGTCCTGGGGACGAGTTACCTGAAAGGCAGCAGCAGGTGTTCCCGAGACCCACCCCAGAGGGGCTGCAGGACCCCAGGGAGCACCGTGTGGGTGCGAGGACAAGGGGCGATAGTTTGCTCTTTTAGTTTGAGGAATTCGGCACGTGGCAGTGCCATAACACGAAACAAGGGAATCTCTGGAAGGAAAGTTTGGGAGACGGGACTCGAGAACTCTCTCCTGGACATGCTGAGGGTGTGGCGCCTGCAGCCACCAGGGGCATGCTGCAGGGAACTGGCCCTTCGAGGAGGTTCGGGTGGCCACGGGGGACGGGGGACTGAGGCAGGGTATCGCCCACCCTGGTTGACTTCCGGCCTACCTGCCACTTCTGACCTTCCAGGATGAGCGAAGGGCCAGCAGGCAGCTTCTCCCCTGCTTCCAGACGGCATTACTTTTGGGATTTCAGGTATAATTCCATTATCACTGCACAGTTACCAGGGGCCTCTGACAACCTGATCGGTCTTTCTAATCACGAAGAGACCTTCAGCATTTAGCTAGTAAATAACTAAATTCAATTAATACTGTAGAGCGCCAGGAAAACTTAATTTCCACTGTTCTCTGGACTTTTGTACAAATGCAATTCTATTTCCTGTGCCATTTAGGATTCGTGATGATAATATGTAAAGGCACCAAATGAAAAAATAAACAAATAAAACTGATTATTGAAGATTAATGGTGGAATTTGTTGCCTAAATGCTCGAATTCATCTTTTTCCTCCCTAGGCCAATCGGAAGACCATAAACACATGTAACTCTGCGATGTGGATTGCCATGCAAGCGTCATCGCCGGTAATGCTGACCTGGGGCTCGGACGCTGGCCCACAGGCCATGAGGACTGGACCCCCGGGACCTGCGCCTCATTCCCTTCACTGGGCAGAGGCAGCTGTCCCCACCTGATGTCCTGCAGGGGGGAAATAGGCACAGGCTGGTCTGATAACATGGCCCCTTCGTGGAAATGGGAAATAAGGTGGGATTTAGCCTCAGTTGGCCAGTTAAGAGTCCTGCTGCGTCCGGCTCCAAGATGCTCATTAGACCTCCGGGGTCTGCAGGGAGAGGCAGGCACCTGGCTGAAGGGACCACAAGGAGTCCCTTGCAGCCTCAGCGATACCACTGTCCTCCTCTGTTTTACCAGCTTCACACCCACAACACTCTACAGGTGAGGACACGGCGCCCACCGGGCGGGACACTCCTTCCTGCTGGCTAAGGTGCCTCGCCCGCACGCCTGCCAAGTGCCATACACCCAGCACACCAGGTTCTCAGGGTGCTGGGCCATCTTCCCTTTCCTCGTCAAGGGAGACGCTTCCCCAGAAGGTTGTTTCCTAGACACGGGAGGTGTGTGGCTGGCCTGCAGTAACCTGTGTCCTGGCAGGTGAAGGCCCAGGACGCCTGCCCCATGTGGTGGGGACAAGATCACATAACACCTAGCGGGGGGACCTGCATACAGAAGGCACGTAGAAGCTGTTCAGCAGCAACCTTTGCTGCATCCATGGCTTTTAAAAACATACGTGTGTTTCATGTCTAAAGAGATGTTCTTCCAGTGTCTGAACAATTGGTATTAGAACTAGACCAGATGAGATCTTTGCCTTCAAATTATGACTTAGCACAAATCAGAAAGTGCACTATTTTGCCAGCAATACTCTTGCTGGGAGTGTAACCATGTCTCTATTGAGTCGATGTCATTTGACCTTTGTGGAGGCATTGATTCATTTCTGCATAAATGAATCAGATACCAAGATCTGTCTCCTTAGGTAACATTAAGGAATCACAGTGCATTTCCCCTCCTACTTACTTCTAGTTTGTTTTTGTCTGAAAGATTGAAAATAAGCACCAGTGAGAGTCAGGGCGAGAAAAGGCCTTTCCCCTGGCCGCACATGCGGCTCCTGGGTCTGTAAGGGCAGAGTTCAGAGGGGCCGGTCCAGGGGGACACGGGTCCTGCCTCCACTTCGGTCTCTGATATACACAGGCCTCCAAACTCCGAGAGCTCATGCCTGGCCTGCGGGGGGCAAGGGATGGCTGAGGGGTCAGCTGAGGGGTCGGTGAGCTGACCAGTCGCAGACCCGGCACCCCTTCTTCAGTGAAGCTAGGACATCACCCTGAACTGACGGGAAGACTGAGCAACTCATCAGGGCCACCGCATCTCCGTGTGCCGTATGTGACGTGGATGAAAATAGACTGAACTGGAAGCAACCTTCCTTATGACCCTGCAGAATCATGTAACTGTTCTGGTAGCCATTTATTGAAAAGATTAGCACCTAAGTAGGGCTGATGACTTGTGAGATTCACACAGAGGCCAAGCAAACTGACTTTTGCATCTGATACTCTACTTTGAAATGATAGGCTGGCCTTTGCAATCTTGCTTATCTTTGATAGCAAATAAAGACTTCCAAGTTTTAAAAATTTACATTTCTTCAGGTACAAATAACCCTGATCCCTGCTTCTGGTTGGTTCATGCCATAGAAATCTTCATTTTTGCACATGGAAGGATTTGAGAAAATGTTGTAAATATACAGTGGTGTTTATATTGTGCCTTAGGATACACAATGGGGATTTTACAGGAAGTTTATGATGATTTAAATACAACACAATCGTTTTAATGGAAGCATGAGCGGCAGGCAGTGGCCACCTGAGGACACCAGAATGTGTCTGCGTGTGTGTGTGGCTCAGGAGCCGAGGATTCCCGGGAGACTGTCTCCTGGGGTGGGATCCTGTCCCCTAGGAGGAAGCCCTGGCCACGTGGCGAGATGCTGCCTCTGCCCGAACAGGGCCTCCCCGCTGCCCGCAGCCGGCACCCCCATGGGCTCTCTTGCCCAGCGCGTGCGCGGGCCATGTAGCGCTTGTCCCTGCTTGTCCCTAGATACAGTCTTTCTCTGTCTCTTCTTTCCTTAGCTGTTAAGACCCTCAGGCCCCATCCCTGGGGAGTGAGAACGCTGCTAGCACTGCATGGTGCCCACACACTTGCCGCCAGCATCCAGGAGGCTGTGTCATCCTGCAGGAGGTGTTGCTCTGCTAACTTGGGAGAAACAGCCCTACGGGTTCATCTGTCATCAGTGACGGAATCATTGACAGCTCGCTTTCTTTGCGGGAAAGGAATGAAGCAGAGATCTGGGACTTTATTCTCTGCTCTGGCCAGTTCTCTCCCAGTGAAAGCCTCTTCCTCTGTTAGCATCTCCACATTGTAACCAAACTAAGGTCCCTGGGGAAAGGGAAGGGTTCTGTCTGGACACACGTGCATCACTTGGGCAGACTTTGGCGAGTCTGCACAGGGCCCGTGTCATTTCCAGGGCAAAGGGGATGGAGGGCATATTATAGACCCTGCAGCAGGTGTGGGCAGTGGGGGCCGTGTCCATGGACAGAGAGGGCAGGTTCCACAAGGTACGGAGGTGCCGGGGGGGAGGAATGGGGCCCCAGTGCACCTGTTGTGTTTCAGGGTCAATCTCACAGCTCCTGCAGGTGGCCACTGTCAAGCCCTCTTTGCAGAGGTGGACACGCACAGAGTATGTGAGATACAGGGCTTACACACCGCGTAGACAGAGGTGCCAGGAATGGCTTGGGGCCCACACACTCAACCTTAACTGCTGGATTTAGGATGATAAGACAATGTACCACCCGAATTAGGAAATGCTGAGAGTAAAATAGGACCCTCCTAATCATTACATGGACCACAGGGCAAATATGGGCAAACTGGCCCCACGTGCCATCCCAGCAGAACTTTACTGCCCAGGTGGGGGACTCCTGGAGGCAGCCTGCTGTGCCTCGGGGAGTCAACAGGAGGCAGCCTGGTGCTCCGTCAGAGGCCCCCACGGCAGCAGCGGGAGCCCTCTGAATGCTCAAGCCCAGACATCTGTGCAGGCGGGCAGCCAGGCGCCAGAATCACTGACTCTCAGAAGTGATAGTCACCTCCGGTTGTCATTGTTCTCAGTCATGATGGAAAACAAATCGAGCTAACGTTGTTTATTTTCCCCTTTAAATATGAATGCTTAAGTCTTTGATGGTGATCAAGCTTTTTAAGATAAATTGGCAATTCATTTTTGAGCTGAATAGAGCTATTTATTTAAAAATGAGTTTGTATTTCCTTTCTTTAAAACCAGGTTCTTTGTAATTTCACAGTTGGGTAATTATATTTTGCTGCTATTTTTCCTGAACCATTTATATCCTTGCTGCTGTCACAGTTAGTAATTTCTCTGAATGTCAACCCGGCTGAAACGTCATTAGTGGGCCCATCACTCCCTTGTTCAGACTCCCTAACGCTAACTCCTGGGCACTTTGGGGAAATGTCGTCCAGCTCGGAGCATCTCCGTTTGTCAGCTCGCGGACTGTGGTCTCTCCCTCTCCCACCATGTCTGCCCACGGCTTCACGGCAAGAGGCAGAAAGAAGCGCCTGAGGTTCTGTGTCCCCCCAAGTATGGAAACTTTTCATGTTTTCATCCTTAATTTCCTTAAATTCACAGGTCAGAAGAGAGTTTGCTGAAGGCACAGCCGGCTTCTGCATTGGACAGCGTCCTGCTTCGTTATGGTCTCGGCTGCTCTTTCGTCCCCTGATAAAAACGCACCATTTGGCGGAGTGGACGCCCCTCCCCCAAAGGGACCAGCATGTTGCTGGACCTTCAGCATTATGACAGGATGCCACCAGAACGGAGCGAAAGCAGAACGCTCCTGGTGTGAAACTGCGACCCCAGAAGTAGAGGGAAATGGAAAACACGAAACATTTAAAATCAAACCTTTATGTCACATAAGAATATCTTTAATCTGTGTCAAGTCAGTCATGTAGCGCAGGCACCCCTCTGTTCAGGCGTTTATTATAGTGACACAACATGGTGTTAAATGGTGCTGACTTGACAACATCAAAACTAAAATGAAAAAAGTTCAGGAAAGGCAAGAATGCTGCGGACAACTTAGCAAGTACTTAGAAGCGCCGGTGGTCACTGCCTGCTTCTGTCCGTCGTCGTCCTGGCCCTGGGAGAACTCGCTCTGTCTGTCCTCCCCCATCTGTCCAACTCTCCTCGCTGGACACCTCCTGGCATTTACGATGCTTCCCGTGTGTAAAATCGCACTCAGGGTCTGCACCGCGCTGTGACGCTGGAGATGCCCAGCCCCTGGCGGCCGCGGCTTGTGCAGGAGGACGGACACCGACCCACGCGTCCTGGGCCACCACCTCTGCCCTGAGGTGCTGGCGGTTTCACCCACCAGTTTTCTGTGGCTGGTTGGCTTTTGCTTGTTTTTGCTTTGCTGTGAGTGCAAGTACCCACCCAGTGGAGAGCAGTGCCTAAGTATTATTTTGAAAATAGTTCTGGCCCCAAGGAGTCTCAGGAACCCTGGGACCTGTGGACTGCGATTCAAGGACCAATCTATTCAATGCTGTCATGTGAAAGAAGTATTTTTGATGTATTGTTAGATTCCTTGGTAAATATTTCATTGGCTGTTTTTGTGTCATCGTAACTAAATGGAAGTGGTTTGTAAAAAGGATGCCGAGCGGTTCCATTCTTTGTCCCAGGAATCAATGCGTTGCTCCCAATAAAGGTGATGTGGAGGTTTCCCTTCTTCCCTGTGCTCCAGATTAAGGTAGCACTGGGATCGTCAAATTTATGAACCGTAATAGAATTCCCCTGCGAAACTCGCTGGGCGCCCAGCGCTCTACAGGGAGCCCTTCATCAGCTTTGTTTCTTCTAAGGCCATTGCTTTAAACTTTCTGACTCTGGTCAATTTTGTAAAACTTGATAAAATGAATTTTTAAAAGTTTCTTTTAGTCTTTACATTTTATATGTATAAAGTTGCATACCATGTTATCTTGGTATTTTAAAAATTTCTTCTGATTTATGGTTATTTTCCCCTTCTCATTTCTAATGTAATTTATTTTTTATCCTATTTTCCTTGATTACATCAGCTTGTAAATTTGCCTACTTTGTTAACTTTTTAAAAAGACAAATTTGTGATGTATTTGTTCTACTCTCTGTGTTCTAATTCATTCATTTCTTCTTTAACCTTTATTAATTCCTCATTGTCCATTATCTGAACTTTTTAATTAGATATTTGTTTTCTTTGAATTTTTTTCAGATTCTATCTTTTGAATATTTTAGGTTTCTTCTGTGGTTGCATCGTAATGGGTGCTCCACATGCACTGGACACACAGGTGTGGCCCCACTGTTAGGGGTCAGAGTTCTCTGGGTGCTGGTCCCGGGTATCTCTGGGGCATCCCTGCCATGGCAGCGGTACCGCCACAGGCCACCCGCAGATCCTGGCCTGTCGGGGATGGAGAGAGAGCCGGCTGCTGTCTGTGCTGCTGTGTCCCTCGCATCTCCTGTGGTCTCTGACATATGATAGATGTACAGATGACTTTGTAAATACCTGGCATAATGATTAAGAGCTGGATTCTATAGAATTACAGAGCGCCCGTCCTTGTCTCCTAGCTCTTATCCAGACTTCTGCCTCGCCAGAGACCAGAGGAGTGAGGCGCACTTGCACCCACTCACACCTGCCGCCGTGCGGTGACCTGCCTTTTCAGCTCTTACCTTTGGAATCTCACATTTTGGTATGTTTCTCATATACAAAATAGTGTTGGATTTGGCTGTTAGTTAATCTAAACATCTTGTAAGCGCAATGAGCACATTTGCACGTACAATGTTCTGACCCGAGCTCTGTCGTGTCGTTCTGTGGTATTTACACGGCACGGTTCGCACAGCTGCCCGCCTGCCCTTCCTGCTCCCCCCTCCTGTGCCCCACGCCCACTTCAGGGGCGCCTGTGGGTGTGTGGGAGGGTTTGCGGTCTGTCGCAGGGTCAGCCTCACCTACTGCCGCGCCCGCCGTCCCTGACCCCACTGCTCGTGCTCACCGCTGCGGCTCTCCTCCGTAGCGGTGCCAGTTGGCAGGCATCCCATTGTCTCTCCTCCTCCTGCCCAGCCTTGTGCCTGAAGTAACACCTTTTACCCAAATTCAGTGTCTCTCAGCAACTGATGAGTTTTTCGAACTCTTCATGTTTCCTTTCAATTCCCACAGAATGGAGGTCTTGAAAATAAGTCTGAATACATTTATGAATGTTCAGTAAGTGCCTCATCTTCTCCTCTGTCCCCGAAAGCTGTCCGCAGCGTTGGCTGTCGCTGAAGATGTCCTCGCCCAGCCTCTGGCTTCCGCCGCCCCATTAAGAAACTGTCGTGCTTTCCGCTTTTGTAAAATGGAATGTCTTTTCTTTCTCAGACTGTGTTTCAGATTTTTTGCTTGTCTTCCTGTAACTTCAGGGAGAGGAAATTCTGGGGCAAAATACCTCCTAAACCAAAATCAGTCAAAAGGAGAAATAAAGTTTAAAACTCGTTTATTGCTTACAAACTGCGGTCAGGCCGTTTCCCTTTCCGGCTCAGTCAGAAGCAAGAAGCCCTCCCCCGAACCTCT